TCCGGGGCGAGAAAGCCCCGTTCGTAAGTGCGGATCCGACGTAAGTCGGATCCGCGTAAGTCGGGGACTGCCTGTACTGTAAAAAATCAGGGCTTCTTGTGCAAGAACTCTGATGCTCCCTCTCAGGAAGAAGCCCTCTTGCATAAGAGCTCTTCCAGAAGAGCCCAGTGTAGACAGGCAACATGAATTTCTTGCGCAAGAAGCCCCTATGGTTAAAATGGCCATCAGAACTTTCTTGCGCAAGAGAGCATCTACACTGGTATGGATGGTCTTGCGCAAAAGCACATTTCTTGCGCAAAAGCACATGCCAGTGTAGATGCTCTCTTCTGGAAGAGTTTTTGCAGAAGAACTCTTCCGCAGAAGAGTTCTTGCGCGAGAAGCTGCCCATGTAGACGTAGCCTAAGACTATTGTGAAAGGGTTGCTAGTCAAGTGAATAGCAGTAGTTCACTGACAGTGCATCTCAGGTGGTGCTAATCCACACCTGAGGAACTTTGCTGTGAATGTTCAGATCAGCATGTAAACAATAGCTTCTATGGAGTCATATGTGGACAAGTAACTTGCTCAAGCATCCAGAAAGGGGCTCTTCTACATTTCAAAAGCTGGGCACACGGGGTCAGCAGAGGACGGCTTGAGTCCCCTGCTGGCCCAGTGCTCCCTGCAGCGCTTCCATCTTTGAAACGTAGCAAGAGCCCTGCTAGTTCTTTCTACATTTCAGAAGCAGAAGTACCGCAGGAACCGGGGGCAAACGGGAGACTGCTTGAGTCCCCTACTGGCCCAGTCAGTGGGGGAATGGTCTTGCTACATTTCAAAGGCAGAGGTGCCTTTATCGACTAATCAATACAAATTCCATCTACTATTTGATTAGTTGATTAATTTAAATTTAACATCCTTAATTTGGACATGTATACTTTGAGCACAATTGGTCATTTTGGAAAAAAAATCATGGAACAGGTTGTGTGTGTTTTACATGTGAAGAGTGGGTTTAGGAAAAAGATTGAGAGAAAAATAAAAAACGGAAAATATTATTTATAAAAAGAATATTAAAGATAGATTTCCCCTTTAACTAGGTACTATGGCAATGTGTTTTTACCATCACCCACTCATTTTCTTGTTCCCATGCAAATACAGATTCACTACCATATCTCAGTGAATGTGCATTTTTGTGTACACCAATTACATTCTCACTGACACATTTCCACATTTTCAGTGATGCTGTACAATTTCATAGCTGATCCTATATTTATGGCTGGAACTTCAGTCCCATTTTTAAATTACCGGTAAGTCCCTTGAATTATACATTTCTGGGGTGCTTTTCTAAATGGTATTCGTATGTTTAGTGGTTTCTTCATGTGGTCCCCCGTAGAATTCCCCAGTTCTGGTATTAATTACTTCAGATTCATGGGTTCCCACTTCATGTGCAAATTTGTTTATAATTGAAATTCATAATCACCTTTTATAACTTGGATAATATTCCCATTCAACTATGTATGTGTTCCTGAAGTCCCCTGCTACTCTTTTGTTAGTATTTTAGAAATCGACTCACACAGAAATACATGTTTCAGTTGTTACATGAAATATACATACCCCTGGAGTATCTTTTACAGCTTTAAAGGGATTAACTGACTCTTACCACACTGTGCCAGACTTCCCCATCTCCCACATTCAATTATTTTTCCTCATTATACTCTTTACTGGGCTTAGAAACTTGATATCCCTTACTGAGTTGTGGAAAATTTTCAGATTTTTGTACTGGAGAATCAGCTGCCTGAATGGCAATTTCTTGTCCCCTTTCACTTTGCTTTCTTCCAAAATTTCCTTTTTCTAATTTTTTTCAAAGTATATTAGAAGCTGTGAGGCCACTAGGTAGTCTAGGTTTCTACAGCACGTTGGAACACTTAAGAAGGATAAAGCCATTACAGAAAATATAAATCAATTATTTGCAGCCACCTGTACCATTGAAAAGCTATAGTAAAGACCAATTTCCTAGAATTACTTGAGGGGGTTAACAAGCAGATATACTGTACAAGGTGATTCAGTTAGTGTAATATACTCAGATTTTCCAAAAGCTTTTGAGCTCTTACTAAATTAAGGTTTTTAAGCTAAATAAGCTGTTATAGGATAAGAGAGATGGTTCTTTCCTAGATGAATAACAGTTAAAAGATAAGAGAAAAAGGCTAGGATTAATTGGTTAGTTTTTAGAATGGAAATAGGTAAACAGTGGTGTTGGGAGGAGGGTACACTGGGAAGAGGCAGTACTGTTAAAAATATTTAGAAATTGTCTGGAAAAAAGGGGGTAAAACAATGATATGGGAAAATCTGCAGATGATACTAGACTTCCTAAACTAGTTAAGTTCAAAGCAGACTGCAAAAAGTTACAAAAGAATCTAACAAAATTGGGTGACTGGGGGAAAAAATGACAGATGAAATTTAATGTTGATAAATGTAGAGCCATGTATGTTAGAAAACATAATTCCAACTAGACATACAAATTGATTGTGAATAAATTAGCTTAAAAAAAGTTCTTAGAATTTATATATCACATCTTGGAATTATTGTGGCTAGTTCCCTAAAAACATTCATTTAGGAAATGGAAAAAGCATAGAAAAAGCAATTAAGATGATCAGGGGTCTGGAATGCTTTATATGAAAGACTAGATTAGTAAAACCAGGACTTCCCAGCTTAGAAAAGGAAGGACTAAAAGTGAAATACAACAGAGATCTGTGAAATTCTGAACAATGTTGAGAAAGTAAATAAGTGATATCTAATACTGTTTCATAACACAAGAACAAAGGGTAACCAAATGAGACTGTTAAACAGGTTTAAAATAAACAAAAGAATGCACAGTTAAACTGTGGAACTTCTTGTTAGAAGATGTCATGAAGGCCAAGACCATAATAAAGTGATTGTTATAAAAGAACTAAAAGCTGGGATTGGGCAACAAGGGTTTACTTGTTTAGGTGATCATTACCTGCTGGCTACGTCTAGACTGGCATGATTTTCCGGAAATGCTTTTAACGGAAAAGTTTTCCGTTAAAAGCATTTGCAGAAAAGAGCGTCTAGATTGGCACGGACGCTTTTCCTCAAAAGCACTTTTTGCGGAAAAGTGTCCATGCCAACCTAGACGCGCTTTTCCGCAAAAAAGCCCTGATCGCCATTTTCGTGATCAGGGCTTTTTTGCGGAAAACAAATCTGGGCTGTCTACACTGGCCCTTTTGCACAAAACTTCAAGCTGTGCCACACCATCTGCTCCCTGCTCCACCCCTGTTTGCTCGGGGACGTCTTGAGGCCCCAACACTGAACATGACTTTCAGCTCTCAGTGAGTTCAGTTATGAGGGCAGAAGCCTCACTGCTAGCACAGCCTGGGCAGTCTCTTTCACCACCAAGACTGTCCCATTGGCCGGTCATTGATGACTTCAGCTGTATTGATCTACACCTTGGGACTCTCAATTGAATCTCACTCAGCTCTGTCATTACACACGAGAGAGGGGGAGGATCAGATGATGTCTAGGACCCTTAGGCAGAACCCACACCAGCAAGTAAAAACATCTGCCTCAACCCTCTCTCAGCTTCTCTGGCCTTTGGCATGCCTGCCCCCAGCCTAGAGAGTGCAGTTCAGTGGAGAGTGAGTCCCTCAGTCATGGCATGCCAAGTATTATTCTGCTGCCCATTATTCACACAAAAAGGGTCAAAACACTTCATTACCCAAGCCCTCTGCCCCCCCAATAACAAAGTGACTCACAATCCAACACCACCCAAAAGGATTATTTGGGCACAGCTTCTCCATCATGTTGTGAGTGTGTCATAGCAAATAGGGTCAGTTCCTGAAGTCTTCTCTCCCTGCTCATGATTAGATGACAGGGAAGAGCTCATTCAGGCTCTGCTTACATTCTTTTGGCAACAAGGTCAGGATAAAAGATAATGGAATGAAGCTACTACAGTGGAGCTATGTCTACACTGGCGGCTTCTTGCACAAGAACATCTTGCGCAGGAACACATCCACACTGCCATGTGCAAGCTGTGCTTTTGCACAAGAGCACCCATGGCAGTGTGGATGCTCTCTTGCACAAGAAAGCTCTGATGGCCATTTTAGCCATAGGGCTTTCTTGCACAAGAAATTCCTGCCCAGTATCCACACTGCCCTCTTGTGCAAGAGCTCCTGCACAAGAGGGCTTACACTTGTTAAAAAAGAGCATAGCTCTTGCACAAGAAGCCCTCTCTTACGACGCCGTACTGTACATTTCCTTGCATGGGAGTAGGCAGGCACTGTGGATGCTCTGCAGATTCTTGTGCAAGAACGGCCATACTTGCACAAGAAGCCACAAGTGTAGACATAGCCTAGGAGTGGGAAATAACTTTTGATGGAGGGCCACTCCACTTCCTACAGCCCTCCCCCCAGGCTAGAATCCTCTCTTGCACCCATACTCCCTCCAGGACCCTGCCCTCCAATCCTCTATCTGAGGTCACAGCTCCCTCCTTCATCCGAAATCCCTCTCAGACCCCACACCCTCTCCAGCACTCCAGCCCTCTATGCCTCAACTTCCTTCTCAGACCCCACACCCTCTCTATGAAACGCATGGCTCTTGACCACTTACCAAAATCTTGGTGTGTCCCTCCTCCCCCAGCTAGATCCTCCACTGGAAAAAATCAGTGTAGCTACATTGTCTTCAGCTTTGCCACACCAATTTACACTTGTTGAATATTTGGCTTAATGGCAATTGAGGGCATTCAGAACCTCACAGAACTCAGCCCTTAGTGAGAGTCTGAGCATTAGTACAGTTATCCATTTCCAAAGAAAAAATGTAAATGTAATGAATCTTGTAATTGTTCTCTGCAAAAACATACTAAATGTACTGAGCTGGATCAGATAAAGTCTTTGTTACTTACCAAATGGCCAGCAGTCATGTGTGGCATTGCTAATTAAGTGGGAGAGGTTTACAATGTTATGGTCCGAGTAACACAATACTAATATTATGTCCTTTTAAAAATCTCAGTTTAAGCATAAGATCAATCTACTGGAAAATTTTTCAAAAAATGAGTCTTTGAAGGCTGTTCACCTTCTGTCTAGTGTAACAGTTAATGTTTAACCAAACATTGATTTGTGAAGCACTGTGACAGCACCATAGTAAGACCTACAGAACTGCATTTGTTAAAAACAACTGGAACTACATTTACATACATGTGCACATTTCATCTCCATTGTCATCATGGCAAACTCCAAAGAGATATATCACACTTGCAGATTGAGCCCTGCCATGATCAATGATTGCCTAGCTAGGTCATTATGGTGGTTTGGCTGGATACTCAGTGTATGTCCACCAAAGCTTTTTGGAACACTTGAATTGCTGGCCTTGTAACAGCAGTCCATGGTAAATATTCTTCATAGTCCATTGATTTTTCATCCTCCTATTGATGTTTTGATTTATTATAATTTATTATTATTATTTGTATTACCATAGCACGTAAGGGCCTAGTCATAGACCAGGACTGCATTGATTTCTTTTTTTACCCTTAGGTCTTATAAATTCCAACCCTTCTATATGAACTCCCATGCATATTACTCATGAGGTTTTTGTGCAAAAGGGAAAGGAAGGATGGATATTTGAGACTAGTCAATTTTCCCAACCCTTTAAGAGTTTTTCAGGAACACCTCCACAGGCGTTTTCTCTCCCCATATTAATTTTACTATTGTAATCACTTTGACACTTAACAAGGTCTTTGGAGAAGAATGTCCAAACTTGTTTCAGACTGCAAGGATTTTTAAAGGCTGCTTTCTGCATCTGACACCTTTGTCCTTGCAGTGAAAATTCACATAATCTGCACCTTTAACTCAGAGGACAATAGTTCAGCAACATAATGTTGCAGTCTAGATAAAAATAGAACTAAGCTTAACTATTGTTAACAATAGATTAACTAGATCTCTCATGCTACACTTTTGATCAAACACCATTTGAAAATAAATGTATTTGTATTGATTAAAAGATATCAAAGACAAATTCCTTCCTATTCAACCAACCATCTGATGTAGATAATAGCAAAGCTTTGCACTTCCACAGCAAGGATCTCAACACATTTTATAAACAATACATTAAGATTCAACCTCTCTGAGTAGTATCTTGCAGATGGGGAAACTTTGAGGTCTGAGCATTAGACCTGCTCTGTATTGCCATTCCTATCACTGTTTCCATTGGTAGGATGGAAAATGTTTATGAAAAATGTCTAGTGCAGCATGATGGGTAAGTAGCAATAACAGTAATAGAATATAAAAACTACTTGCCAGTAACTGGCATTCATGATGAACCTCTGTGTATTCATACCTTTGCAATCAGGGCACCTGCATTGGAGGTTTCCAGAATCTTTTGGTGAGATGTGTTCTGTGGAACAATTTAACCCTTTCTGGTCCCTCCTCTCATGGAGGATTTAAGGGTATAGAATCATAGAATAATAGGACTGGAAGGGACCTCGAGAGGTCATCGAGTCCAGCCCCCCGCCCTCAAGGCAGGATCAAGCTCCGTCTAGAATGGCCCCAGCTACCTTTCAATAACTTGGGAGTTCCTAACTAAGATTCCAAAGAAGCAGGATAAGCAGGTGAAGGTTATGGACACTGTGGCTCTCTGTACTTCAAAACAGCACCCTAGACCTTCTCCATATTTCCCACATCATCTATTCATGATATATTTCATAAAAGCATGTCATGTAAGATATGATAAGCAAGGTCATGATCTGATGTCACCCATTGTTCTGTCCAAATATGCATATTGTTAATGTGTATGAAGTTATGAGATTTTGCAGTGTGGTTGTTTCTAAAATATGTTGTAAGTGGCGGATGATTGGGTTAAGGACCATTTAGAAAAGCTGGACTTACACAAATCCAAGGGGATGCAAAGCATCCAAGGATGCTGAAGGAGCTGTCTGATGTGATTGCAAAGCCATTGGCCATTATCTTTGGAAGGTCCTGGATGATGGGAAAAAGCAAATATAGTGCTCATCTTTTAAAAGGGAAGAAGGAGAATATGAGAAACTACAGATCAGTCAGCCTCACCTTAGTCCCTGGAAAAATGGAGTGGGTCCTCAAGAAATCCCTTTTGAAGCATTTGGGGAAAGGAAGGTGATCAGGATCAGTCAACATGGATTTACCAAGGGCCAGTCATGCCTGACCAACCTGATTGCCTTTCATGATGAGATATTGGTTCTGTGGCTATGAGGAAAACAATGGACATGATATACTTTGACTTTAGCAAAGCTTTTGATATGGTCTCCCACAGTATTTCTGCTGGCAAGTTAAAGAAGTGTGGCTTGTATAAACGGACCATAAGGTGGATAGAAAGCTGAATAGATCATCAGGCTCAATGGGTAGTAATCAATGGCTCAATGTCCAGTTGGCAGCCTGCATCAAGTGGAATGCCCCTGTGTCTAGTTTTATTCAAGGTCTTCATAGGACACATACAATCACAGAACACTAGAACTGGAAGAGACCTCAAGAGGTCATTGAGTCCAATCCCCTGCCTTCCTGGCAGGACCAAGCACTGTCTAGATCATCCCTGACAGGTGCCACTAATGAATGATCTGGATGATAGGTTGGATTGCACCCTGGAGTGTAGGGATGGTCTCCAGAGTGACCAATACAAATTGGAAGACTGGGCCAAAAGAAATCTGATGAAGTTCAACAAGGATAAGTCCAGAATACTGCACTTAGGACAGAAGAATCCCATCGGATTGATACAGGCTGGGGACTGACTGACTAAGCGGCAGTTCTGCAGAAAAAAGACCTAGAGATTGAAGTGGACAAGAAACTGGATATGAGTCAACAGTGTGACCTTGTTACCAAGAAGGCTACATTAGTAGAAACATTGCCAGCACATCAAGAGAAGTGATTATTCCCCTCTATTGGGCTGACTATGGCTAGCTGGGTTTCCCCTTGAAGAATATGGATATAGCCCTCAGATCAAGAATAGGCAGCAAGCAGTAAATTCTTCAAAACCAAAAATATTTATTTAGAAGTCAAGTTACAACAAAAGAGAAGAGCTAGAGATAAAAAAATAGAGTGAAACAGTAAATATTACAGTTACACTTTAAAGAAAGTGATATGGCAAATAAAGACAACACTGTATTAACAGTTCCACTTAACTATATGGCATATAACAATTTAACAATGTAATCATTCACTTACTACTCTAGTCTAGGATTTATAACAATGTAACAATTAAGCACACAACATAAATCTTTTACATATATCACTGTAGCAATTAAGCATGTAACAATATATCCATTAACATTTGATATCTGTTACTTAAATCTAGACATTTAGTACACCCTGGCCTAACAAGTACCAAAAGGGTAAGGAGATCCCACTCAAACTGCAGGCATCCAGCTTTATTTACATTTGTACCCCATACTCTTCAGGATGTTAAAGAGGAAAAGATGTTAGCAAACAAAGGCTTCTTTAAATTCCCTCTGAATGATCACAAATGGTCCTTCTGCTCTGTGAGGTCTTTTTGAGAGCATTGTCTGGAGACTGTTGCTCCAAGATGGGCTGCTACGGTCAGGGCTGTTCACTGCTGCTTCCACACGAGGCAAAACAGAACCTCAGGACTGACTGAACCATAGCAGCAAGATGACTGGAGGCAGAGGGAGCGCATGGCTCTCACAGTCAATGTGTGCAATCAGCTCACACCTTACTTCATGTCTCCTTGTTTTATATGCATGTCATTTTAGTAATACTGGTAGGAAAAATATCCATGGAATGGCAACCTTGCATGTGAGCAATGGTAAACAAAATGTCTCATGGGCTACACATTGAACCCCAATGGGCTGCAGGTTGCCTACCGCTGCATTAGACCTTCATAATCAGAAGGAACTGAAGATGACTGGGGTTGCTTCTCCTTACATATGCTTAAAATGCTTCATGAGGGGAGATGGAGGAAAGTATGAGTGGCTCCACTGAAAGATTTGGAAATTGGCAGCACAGGTGCTGTGATCTACAAGTGGGGCCAAATGAAGTAGAAGCGGGAGACCTGAAGGACAGTCTTGTGTTCTACTATTGCTAAATCCCTAGTAACTAGCATGCCTTAACTAAGACTCAGACTTCAAGATGTATTTGTAAGCCACAGAAATCTGCACCCTTTTATCAAATATGTCATAAAAAGGAAGTAAACTGTTACTTTTGTTTGTGCCAATATTTTCTGGAACCCAAACATGTACAATTAATCAGGCATCTTGTTTCTTCTCTTTGGGTGTTTTCCCTTTGAGTTCTCTACCATGTGGTTATCTTTTGGTGTAATAATCTGCTTTTAACCTTTCAAGGCTGTACAAAAAGGAAAATCATAGGAAGACAGGGGCAGAGGATTATGATAATATTCTTCATTTTGATTTCTTGTGGTCATTTAAAAATTGCAACTATTTCAATCCCGTCTCTGTACCCTAGTCAGACTATGTGTGGCATACTTCCAGAACAACCCATATAAACAATGCAAATAACCAGGTACAGCTCTGTACAATCATGTGTACCGTTGAGTCTAAACATCAATTTGGGCCAGGTCTGTCTACAAACATAACAATTCAGGTGACACACACAGCTATAATTAATCATTAGGAACACTGTTTTTTCTTCTGTTAAATCAAGAATAATTATTGCCTAGATATTCCCAGCAAAATTCACTTAATCAATGAATGGATTTTTAGATAGCAAATTATTTTTAGTGGATACAATTACATAGATCCTCCAGATGGGAAGCTTTCCAAACAAGGTAAAAGAAAGTAAATGCCTCCCTCTGGAAAAAGCCATTGAATTTGGATTTTGAAGCACCACACAATTTTTTACATACAGAAAATGAAAAAAATGCTCTTGCTGTGTGATAGAAATACATTTTAAAGAGAATACCTTACTTCAGACTTGGATTCATAAT